CAGACCCTTAGTTCTCGCGATAACCTGCTTGCTCTTGATCATATATGACAGACATAGTCAAATCTAGGGATCAATCATAATTACTTTCCTGTGACACAACCAGGAGATTGAAATGCTTGCCAATATCTGTTATGTACATGCTTTTTAAATTAACTTAAAAAGGGACAAAATGATTTGGCTCATCCATTTATATTTTTCATTTTCCTATTGAGTATGTTTATAAACTACCATTAAATCCTAAATAAGACCTATATTTACCATAGGCATCGCGAGACCCCATATCAGTCCTTCATTACTTAATGCGACATAGTGTAAATATAGCTTTCTCTCATATTTTGTATTTTTATTTGTGTATATAGATATAGTCAAATACGAAGAATAATATAAATCTCTAAAGTTTTTTAACATTGTTTGTTGATCCCTGATTTCATTCAAGTTTGCTTAAGAAGTTTACAATGTTTTCGCTAATCCTGCCTTCTTCAAGTCTCCTGTTCGTTAGGTTACTTTCAGTCAGGATATCAATGGCTTATCGTATCTCGCGTTTTCTTGTATTTCCACCATATGTAGCCAGCCTTTCTTTTGATTTCCATTCTATTTCGTGTCTCTTCCGTTCGATGTGTTCCGCTATTTTGGATCTTTCATTGTCCATGTTTCTGCAGAGTCTTAGGTGTTCCTTGATTCGTAGACTAATTTTTCTTCCTGTTTCACCGATATACTTCTGCTCACAGTTGCAGAATCTGATGATATAGACTCCTGAAGAATCCAGTTTGTCAAACTTCTCATGCTGCGTCGGCAGGCTTGTGGAGGCATTTTCTTTTGTTATCACCTTGGTATTCCATTTTCTTAGCAGCGGTCGTAATTTATGGCTTAGTTCACAATAAAGCAAACATATCTACTTTTGTCTTCCTCTCTATTTCTGATCCTATCTTCATAAAATCCTAGTTGAAATCTGCTCTTTATGACCCCTCTATTTCTTTCTATTGCCGCTGAATGTAAAATATGTGGTACTTACTGTCAGGTTGATTAGTCGTGTTAACGATTCCTTCCGTATCTGCTCTGTTTTCAGGATAGCCTCTTCTCGTTCAAAGACTTCCAGCAGGGTGGTGACTGCCTTCTCGCGCATTGATTGTACGTCAAAACATTTTCGTCCCTACCAGTCCAATATTTTTGATCATCTGAGAAAATTCATATGAATTCTTCATCGTGTTCAAGAGTTTGTCGTTTACTTTTTTAAGCTTCAAGCATATAAATTTTGCTAGTTTGTATGTTGTTCCATGCCTGTCCTTGACTATTAGTTTTAGCGGATTTGCTTCCTCTCTCTTCGGTAGTCCATAGGCTGTCGGTGGTCTTGCGTCATTTTTATTAACGACATCCATCTGTTGATTCCTCAGTTATTATTGATTTCCTTTAGTATTTTGTTGATCTTCTTTATTGAATTCTTTCCTACTATATCATAGGTGTTCCGGTGGCCTAGGATACTTTCCATTTTCTCCATGTACGTTTTACCTGTCCATTATCACCGTCGCACCTTTATCCGCCTGAAGAATTATTTGGTCATTCAGTTGTAATTTTCTACGTATCTTCATCAATCCACTCCTGTTAATTGGTTCTTGGTGAGAGATAATTCTCGGGATTGATTCAATTTCCATCACCCGTTTGGTCTCTTGTGAATTTATGCCAGGAAAATAAATTACAAGGGAACCAGATAGGAACAGTCGGAAACCAAGATAAGACATCTACAGTGAGCCTATTCAAATCAAGTATAACCATCACATTTGGGGTTCGGCATCGATATAAACTCATAGACTTGGCATTAGGGATAGATGAGCGAGAGAAACGGTGGTGGCCATTTCTAGTTAACTATTAGTAGATAAGTTTGCTCATAAACGTGGTTGAAATGCCAATTGAGAATTCAGACTTTATGGGCTTGCCCAGTGAGGCTGGTCTATAAGTGCTATAAAAGGCTTGAGGCAAAGTGTAGAACATAACGCCTTGATTAACACGATACGCTGGCAGCGATGGCGTAAAATTATTGAAACAGGCAGATACGGGAAAGATCCTACGAAGCAAGAAGGGACTCTGATAGGACCATAATGGAGAGGATTTTGGAGTAAACCGCAGCCTTGAATCAATCCTCGGCACGGTGGGAGGGATGTGGAAACCAACGGGGAATATGAATTGGTTTTATGTAGGTTTAGCTAAAGAATTAATAAATTGTGATATCGAAGGGGTGATACGACGATATAGGATAGGCGAATAGCTTAGAACAGAAGAAAGATACCACAACTATTTAGCACGCAATTGGTCAAAGAATCGATTTTACTTGTCTATTTGACGAGTTGTAGTGTCATGCTAAGAATGGCAAGGCTCACTGACGATACCGGCGAAACGTCTGGGAATGTACCAAGTCCATGATCCAACTCTGGAAGTTATCATGCATAGTATGGACTGCGGACAAGGTGCGTTCTTCTAGGTCTTCTTGCCAATATGGCCGAGTTGCGAAATCAAGGTAAAATAACTCCTATATAGCGTAAGGAGACCGTGACTATACAAAAGGCCACATCATCTTTATCTTCAATCATACTTCACTAGTTTCCACTCAACTTTCTACACTCATTCTTTCTATTCAGTATGTTGGCTGTTTTGTTTAGTTCTATAGCTCCCCTAATCTTCCGCTTACTGGAATAGTCCCAATTTCCATATAAGTGTTTTGAATTAGACCATTCTATCTGGTGTCCCGTGCGAATCATGTTTTGAGCCAATTCCGATTTATGGTTTCACTGACCTTCTACATACGGACCTACAGGTATTTCCTACCGCATTAACACACCTAATCTTGTAACAGTTCGATCTGGAGAGAGGGCCACAATTTTCTGGAAACTAATGTATTTCTGAGGAAAGTGCTATTTTCTCTTTATAAATTGTCTATCAAGTCCCCCTGACAACAAGAAAAAGTTGCGACGAGCCAACCCACTTTTATAAATCTAAAAAAGACTGCGACCATACTGGGGGCCACATTATCTTGGCCTTCATATATTCAATTAGTTTCCTTATGTTGGAGTACCTTTCATTTTGTTTGAAGAGGCGAGTGGAAGGGATTCGTAAGTTTGTTCCACCTGAGGCTGTGGAGGGGTTACCTTGTAGCTGTGGCTATATATTTGTGCAGATAGGTCCTCGGCGCACCGCCCTGCGACCCCAATTATTATCCTTATTGTTTGGCAAAGCAAAGTTCAAACCGTTGAGAGCACTTCCTTGGTGGTTACGTCTTACGCTATTCTGGACAGATTTACCGCTTCACCAATTATCATTTGAACTTTGACATCTACTCCTAACGTAGTTTGATTATTCTTTTAATTCTGATTCTTTTATCCAAATTTCTAAGCTTAGCATTTATGTAACTTGCCTGTTGAAAAACTCTATCATATAGCCTGTCAGCCATTTTTTGCAATTTAGAGAATTATTCTGAGCTAAGAGCCCTCCTCAGTGATTGGCGCAATCTGGTTTTTCGTTGAGTCCTTATAGTAGCAAAATCCTGGAATGCGCTCTGAAGGACTCGCTTAGTTCTATTAGGAAAATTTTGTCTATCAATAATATGAGATGTATTCACTCTATCTCGTCTAAGGTGATAAAGGACTCGTAGTAGAATTTTCCCACAACGATATAAGTTAAGCTGACGTTTCCATTGGATTTCACATACCCTTGCTTTCCCGAAAGTTGTTCTCATCCAGGGTGGACTGCAGTTTCGACCTCTCATCGGTCTTATCAACATCCACAGCGGGAGTCGAACCATGACAGTGCAGGATGGGAGCTTGACACGCTAACCACTCGGCTACACTGCCACGAGTACCCTTGAGTCATAGGGCATAAGTGAATTTCAAGGAAGGTCAGGCCCTTATGCAAACGTATATTTGCTATAACAATCGACTACGTTACTTATTTTTGTATTAGAGTAGAGTTTCGAGACCACCAGTAAATCAGTAATACAAAATCTATGTCAACCCTACGAGATAAACATGATTTCCATTTATGGCTTACTTGCTAGGCCAGTGCTTTCTTGATCTTAGTGTAAAGTGATGATTCTCGGAAACCGTGGTATCCATTCGTACCATGTAGGTATGTTTGCCCACTTGTCTTTTATTATTTATTTTCATCCACCTTGTTGGTGCCATAATAAGTTTTGGCTAGTATTACTTCTCTCCCATTGGTGTATATTTCTTCTACTTTTTTCCATTATTTTCTTATTATTTTTTCTCTTACATTTCTTTTTTTCCTTTGGTAAGCCGGGTTTCGAGATTTACATTAAATCAGTTATAAGAGATGTATTCACCATACTTCCTTTAAAGTGATGAAGGATTAGTAGTTGATTTTCCTACAATGAAATGAATAGAGCTAACACTTCCTTTGAATTTCACATAGCCTTGTTTTCCTAAACAATTTTCTTATCCAGAGTGGACTGCAGTTTCGACCTCGCCAGGAAACGTTAGCTCTGTTCATATCATTGTGGGAAAATTCAACTGCCATTCCTTCATTACCTTAAACGAAATGGGGTGAATACATATACATTTCTTATGCTCTGTGCAGCAGTTAACCAAAAGCGTCGCAGATGTTCATATTTGGCTAGACTGCCTTTCCGGTGATACGATCGTTTTCCTTAATTTGTATTGTTATTTTATTGTTTATTCTGATTATCCTTGAAACTATAATCTACTTGAGCTATTCACTGTCTCAGAAGTCCACTTGGATTACCGTTTTCGGGCTATTTTTAGTTTGATATTAGTAATCGAGACGATATGGCATGCGACAATTGTCATAACTGGTGTCTTGAAAGCAAAAGGCCCTGTCCAAATCTTATTCGTTTATTGTTATCAAATGCTAATTTAATTATATTTTCTTAAAATTTTATATTTGCTTTTTTGATCCAGGCCCGTCAGCTTGGTCTGTTAACGGTTCGCAGGAATCTTGCTCGCATTACACGCCTTCAACACTCCTTAGTTGCATGCATGCCTGCCGGAAAGCGATTTTGGCGTCAACTGCGTAACTTGGCCGACACTATTGAACTAGACATGCATTGCCCACGCGCTCATTGCCCGCCTGGCCACAGGTCACCCTCATCTACCACAATTACCACCACAGCCGATGATGGGTTACTTCCAGTCGTACGCCCCCACCCAGTCCGCGGAGCCCCATATTCATCACATCCATTGCCGACACCTCTTCCGCCGCCTAACCGGCTTGCCGAGATGCCTAGATTACACCGCCTTAGGGCCACGCGAACGAGACATGCACGTCGTCTTACCCCAAAACCTCCGGGTGATGTACTTGCTAAAGCCTGGTCTTTGTTACAGAGTACTTGGCGCAATCGACCTGTGCTTTTGGCACAGGCTGCATCTCTGGTAAACACTCTCCAAAAGCCCTTTTCTGGTTTCGAAGAGGTGGGTTTAGGATTCCTTTCCATTTGGGAAAATGTTTTATATCGTATTATTTAATCTTTCAAATAATTGCTCCTCATTTCGCTAACATTGCATTTTACTCGGTACGATGCTGTTTTCATTTGGTTACTCTTCTGCCCATAGGTTAGAACCTTTTCTAGTAAAAATATCCATTTAGAATTATGATTGAAGGTGTGAAGACCAAGACCAAGAAGACTTAAACTATTAGCTAGATATATGGATGACTACTTTGCCATATGGCAGCATGGCAAG